CACGTGACGGGTGCCGGATTAGCTGGGTGGCTGCGGCTGCTCCCTGCTGCGCCGAAAATCCCAACCCGCAGTGCCGGCTGCACCGCCGCACTGAGATGGCGGCCGCGCTGGGCTTTGCTGCTGCGCCATCTCTGAGAGCAGGTTCTGGCAAGCGTTGCTCCCCGCCGTGGAGATGGTGAGAGTCCAGTACGAGAAGGTTTAGGCATCGCTTCTGTTGACTGCCCCTAGAGAGCCACTTTCACCTGGTGGAGAGTCTTTGCTTACTGTTCAAATAAGAATCGGGCTTTAAGCTCATGTTGTTGCTTGGATCAACTAGAGGTCAGATTTTCAGTAGTAGCTTTGCAGAGTAGTACAAGTCCTGCCATGAGAGGATTTTTCGGAGTGTGAGTGTCCTAAATGGCACCACACGCAACTGAACACTTAAGAGTGCCTTGGTTTCTTTGCTTTGGGTTGATTCACGTCATATTGGAAGACACTTTTGTGCAGTTGGTATTGCATAAAATCTAATTGTATTTAAGCATGTCTTATTTTTTCCAAGTAAGTTTCTAATTTGCCATGCAGGCAAACAACTGTAATAAGTTGGTACTTTAAGCTGTGTTAGTTGCTCACTGCCTTCTGCTGAAGAGTCCGTATTGTGTTTGATTTAAAACATTTGGGTTATTCGCAGTAGTGCCTGAGCTGAAATACCTTTTGGTAGACTTTACTGTGAGTCTGAAGGCTGCAAATGAAGTTTTAGAAAAGCAAATGCAAAAAGCGTGCTTGTCAAAGTAATTGTAGGAAGAAAGTCACGTGATATTTTTTGAGCATAGCTCCCCCAAATATGAAGACAGTAATGTTCTGATAATACTCATGTAGACACTCAGAGGATTTCTTTCAACTGCAAGTGAAGTGCCTGACTGAATTTGTATTATTTGGGCTGTAGCTCTAAAGTGAGGGGGGAAGGGAAGTTGATTTCAGTCAGAATGCACTTGTCTGGACTGAAAGAATATTTTAAATGTTTAGTCTGCATAGTGTTTGTAGAAGTATGTGGTATTTGATTCGGGGAGTGTAAGATAACTCATTTAGTCTTGCCTGCTGCTCATGTGGTTTGTGGTGGTGCATATGAAGACAGTTGAAAATGGTCTGACTTTTTGGCTCTTGTTTACAAGAGATGTAACTGGCACTATAAACAAATTTCTTTGCAGCAGTAACTTCATGGAACACTGTTTGCCCTTGATAAGCAAAAGGGCTTTTTGTATCTCAGCACAAATTTGTAATACAACACGTTGATACTTGTTTTATTTCTTTTAGTTTTCTGGTCTAGACTTGAATTCCTCAGACTCTCAGAGTGAAGGAAGCTCTTCAAGCAGTAAGTACATGCAAATTCTCAATTTTACAAGCAGTTTAAAAATCAAGGGTTTTATAGCTGTGAAACAAATTTCTGAAGCCAGGATTTGCAGAGGATGATGGGAAGAACTGGGGAGGTTGCCAGTTAAGTTTGCTTTGGAAATTCTGTATACTTAAGTATGAGCACTTAATTTAGCAGTGGTATGGCACGTGTATGTTTAAGTACTTAAGTGACTTGAGACAATTTTTGCTGTTCTAACTGTCCAAGGTTTTCTGTTGCCTCTAGCCAAACAACGGAGGCTACTGATTATACTACTATTAAGATAATCTGTTTTTTCAAACTATCCAGCTAGAGTTGGAATGCTGGTAAAACTTCCAACTGTACTAATCTTGGTGGAGTAGAAACTGCAATCTCTGAAATGCAGGGCTTAAGTCTCTACATTAGGAAGACATGAATCTTCCTGGAATTCACATTTAGCTTGTGCCTGGTACACTCTTATTGATGTTGCTTAGCAGACAGATGCGTCTGGATTGTAAATGAAGAATGCTATTCAGAAGCAGTTACATGTGGCTTCTGGTTTGATCTGAGCTGAACTGTAGGGGATGGTTGAATTCAAGGGGAAGGAGAAATACTGGTAGTATTCGTACTTGTGAGTGCCAGTACTTGAATGACACAGTGAAAATTGTAAGCTACTCAAATATCTGGCACTAGCTTGTGCCTTAATGAGTTCTAGGAGGACAGGCTTTCGTCATAAACACTTAACATCCATAAAGGGCCTGTATGACTTGGTCGAATAAATAGCAAAGATATTTGTGTCTTTAAAAAACAACAACAACAAAAAAAGCACACCCCAACAAACCAAAACCCAAACCACACCTGCATAACTATGCAGGAACTTAAGTCTTCACTGCATTGGTCAGCCTTGCTGTATTAAAGGAGTCTTGTTTAAAGATGCTGTAAAGGGCCTTAGAGCCTGTGAGGCATACAAATTTTTTTTTTTTTTCCTAATGTTCTTAACAAGGACTTGCTGAAGGACTAGTATCTCAAATTGGTAATGCTGCAGTCTTGTAATGTTACTTTTCTTTTGTCCTTTAGAAGGCCGATACATTCCTCCTCACTTGCGGAACAGGGAGGCTTCAAAACAGGGTATGTATCAGAAATACAGGGCATCACTTGCATTCTTGGCCTCCTAAATCTCTGGGAACAGGCAGTTAAAGGCTTTGATAATGCTGTTATAGGTGGTTGTACAGACTGGTTGACTGTTCTCTGCAAAACGCTGCAACTTAAATCTTTGCTTTAGTGCGCCATTCTTAGTTCCTTCACCAAGTTGTACTCAAGTTCAGTACGTGACTGGCAAAATACCTTCCATATCTCATTAAGCAGTCAGCTGACTAAAGCAAGATGGAGTCTCCTGTCTTAGCTTGACTAGCTCTGATAACTTGAGAATTTTAATGCATTTAAGGAGTACCAGTTTCTGTTTCTGACTGATGTGTAACTTGTAGTAATTGGTTGCTTAGTATAAACAAATAGCACAGTTTCAGTTTGTAAATGGATGTTTACACAAATTGCTCTTAACTGGGGGAGCATGAGAAACCAGTTAAGAGAGGCTGTCTTAATTTAGCTTCTTGCAACAGAAAAAAGGAAGTCCATCCTTTTTTCAGAAGGAAATGCAGGATGCTGGTGAAGGAAACAGGAAACATATGAGCTGTGTTGGTCTTATTTACATGGGAGTTCTCAGAAATGGCCTTTGTATCTTGCATTTTATTTTCTAAATGGAAGAGAATGAAGAAGAAATGTTTTGTGGAGCGCTTTGGTGGAGTAAGATGTGAAGATTGCAGATGCTGCACCATGCGTTATTGTCTAATGACTTGTATAGATACTAAAACATTTCATCTGACATCTGTTGAGATACTTCAAAGGAGCTCAAATATTTTCTGCTATGCAGCAACTTAAGGAGTTGAAAGTCTCATAGTATGGGAAGACTTTGATCTCATCTATTTCTAAAGCAGCGGACTTTCACAGATTGTCTTTTCAATACTTCAAGAGCACTTCATCAGGAGCGGGTGGGAGGGAGACTATTGAAATAAGTGCTGATAGTACTTGGGGAGCTATGTAACTTTAAATTTGACTAGATGAAAAACATTTCGTTGTAATTTTACGCCATTTGAGGAAACATCAGTTTTTTTTGTGTTTCTGTTTTTTGAGCTTTTTTTTTTTGGTCTTTCTTTTGCATGTGTCCAAGCTAGCATAGTGTGTATGTGCGTTTGTGTCTTGGGAGGTGTTTGGATGGAAGGGGAAGAGGGGGTGTTTTTTTAACCTAAAAGAAGCATGGCTTGAAGCACCAAATGATGAGCAGCTCTGTTACCAGAGCTGACTATTTTGGGGAAAGTAGAGGGATTGTTCTGCAGTTCAGTGCTCTTGAAGTTCCCAGTTGCATAAACTTCGTATATGGGCAGTCTTTCCAGAAATAACTAACTAAATCTGAGGGGAATTTGCAGGTTTCTCAAAAGCAGGGAACAACTTAAAGTTGGCTTGTAAACATTTGCTATACATATATTTCCTTTCCCTGTGTGGTAATTTGTACTAAATTCCAGCTTATTTTTGGGGGGATACCAGATAGAATCGTAGAATAGTTAGGGCTGGAAAGGACCTTAAGATCATCTACTTCCAAAACCCCTGCCATGGGCTGCGACACCTCGCACTAAACCATGCCACCCAAGGCTCTGTCCAGCCTGGCCTTGAACACCGCCAGGGATGGCGCATTCTCAACTTCCCTGGGCAACCTATTCCAGTGCCTCACCACCCTTACAGTAAAGAACTTCCTTCTATCCAATCTAAACTTCCCCTGTTTTAAGTTTTAACCCATTACTCCTTGTTCTATCACTACAGTCCCTAGATACAGAAGGATACTTTAGTCTTAACCCTTGAGTTCATATCATGACCTGTTATGTGTAGGATTGTCACTGTCCATTATGTGCAAGACCATAGTTCAGGCACTGCATTGTGCATGTGATTATTTGGCTTTTCTGGGAGCTTCAAGCTTCACCTTGCAAAAAGCTATAAAAGTCTTGAAACTAATTTGGCCCATGGTTTATTCACTTATTAGAACATAGGTTGCCACCTTCCTTTGGTAGACATCACACTTCAAAGCTTCCTTTAAATATGATTGAGTATCACATCACTAAACTCCTCATGGCTCCCTGTGACAAGCTTCATGATGGCTAAATTGAAAAGCTGCAGCTCCAGGCCCCCTGCTGAGAAGGAAAGTGGGTATCATCAGTACAGGGATCTAAAGCAGAGATGTTTTATAGGGTGGTTTGGTGCCTGTTACATGCTTGCACTTTCATGAAAGTTATGTTTGCTTCTGTTGTTTACATCTAAATTAACAATTGCTTCTTTTGCTGTGCTAAAGTTGTTCTGTATTGCTAAATACTCCAATGAGCAGCTTGTAAAGATTGCATCAGGGTTTTTTTCAAGGTATAGCGAGTAATAGTCAGGAGATGTTGGATAACAGTGGTATTTGACCATACAGTAAAATTGTTGATGCAGCCTTACAAGTGTAGTAACCTGATAAAATGCTCTTGGGTGTAAAAATCAGTCTATTTGGAACCATATTTCAGTAATCTAGTAGAATTGTCTTGCTCGTGTACCATAACCTTGTGGACTTCTGTGGTAGTGTTAACTAACTTACTTTATTTAAAAAATTGAATTATTTGTCCTGTGTGGTGTTCTTAGACATTCTCTAGACACAAATAGTGTATAGTTTCTAGCTTGTGATTCTAATTTTCCTCTGTAGCTGATGATGGTATAGTAATTCATGGACACCTTTAAAGTTGCACAATTGGCTTAATTGCAGCCAGAGAAATCACTTAAGGCTGTTGACTTGTTACTTCAAGATCAGTTGCTTCCTGTGTCCCTGAAGAACTGAGGATATTTCAATAGGTATTGACAGGGGAAGGACACTCAGGGATATAAAGTATTTCTGTTTTAAACTCTTGCATTGCTAGCTTCAGCATGGTCTTTCCATATACCTGCAGATCTGTCCCTCTTGTAATACAGATCTGCTGCTTGTACCTGGGAACAAGAGAGTACATAACTGCAGGTAGTAAGAGTATGCATAAAAATGTCTTTAGGCCACTTAATGTCAGTTCTGTTTATATGGAGCTTGGTATGCAGGCCTCCCTGGTCTAAAATTCTTGCTTCCATGAGCTTGACTTGATAACACCAAGTCTTGTCATGTTATTTTCTTGTTAAACTTGCTGGAAGATGCTCTTGGATATTTAAAGTCTCATCTGATCTATAGTAGTGCAAGGAGTAGCTGTTAGAACTTAAGAATGTTACAAAATGCAAATTAAAATGCTGATTGAGGATAAGCATTGGCAATTCTACCATTCTTCATGGGTGCAAGAACTAAAAAATAGCTTTGGAAGCTCATTACGTTACTGAACTCCAGATTTATCCTTTTGGTGAGAAATGTGTGCTGGATTCAATATATGCAGGCTTTTACTTAACCAACTCCCTTTACCCACCTCGATGTTTTTAGAGAATTTCCTGATAATTCTTGTATGGACTTGTGATCATCCTTTGCTTTAGAGAAGTCAGCCTGTGGTCTGTCATGTGTTGTCTCAGTGAATTTGCTTTAGATTTATTTTGCCATGTGTTCTACATAAAGTTTTCTTCTGCTAGCTGATTGCTTTGAAGTGACTTGTATGGCTTGGACCTCTGTTCTCTGCCCATCCACAAGTAAAATAGGAATGCCAAAGGGAATTAATGGTCCTAATGGTCAAGCAGGGTGTTGTATATACAGGCATTTGTTAAAGACTTGGTCTCAAAGTTGCTGTGCTACCTTAAAGAAAAATGTGGCAAGGTAGCAGCTTCAGAAACTACTTCAAGCTAGATGAGTAAGCTTACTTTTGTATGTTATTTGGACTATATAGTTTTAGAATCATAGAATAGTTAGGGTTGGAAAGGACCTTAAGATCATCTAGTTCTAACCCCCCTACCATGGGCAGGGACACCTCACACTAAACCATGTCACCCAAGGCTCTGTTCAGCCTGGACTTGAACACCACTAGGGAGGGAGCATTCACAACTTCCTTGGGCAACTGATTCCAGTGCCTCACCACCCCTGCAGTAAAGAACTTCCTCCTTGTATCCAATCTAAGCTTCCTGTGGTTAAGTTTGAACCTGTTACCTACCCCTTGTCCTATCACTACAGTCCCTAATGAAGAGTCCCTCCCCAGCATCCTTATAGGCCCCCTTCAGATACTGTAAGGCTGCTATGAGGTCTCCATGCAGCCTTCTCCAGGCTGAATGGCCCCAACTTTCTCAGCCTGCCTTCATACAGGAGGTGCTCCAGTCCCCTGATCATCCTCGTGGCCCTCCTCTGCACTTGTTCCAACAACTTTTGATTCCTTTCTGGAACTTTTCAAACTTCATAAAAGATCTGAATTTAATACAGCATGAACCCTTTGTTTTTTCTGGTTTTTTTTTTGCTAATGAGGAACTACATCTATATATTCCTAAAGGTTGCTGTCATTACAACTATTGTTAGGTCTCTTGACATGAAGATGTACCCCAGTAATTTTAGTGTGGTTTGAAAGTTACTCATACTGAAATCTGGGTTTAGATACTTTTCTAAACAAGCTACAGACAACTTTCTCCTGCATTAATGAAGTAATTATGGTATTCTTGATGTTCTGTCAGAAGTCTCTCTGTGTGAAGTTAATTCATCCTTAAGAACTAAACTAGGATTCTTAAGTAGACCATGTAATGTATAGCTAAAATACCCTTTTCTGCCAGGTTTTGATAGTGGTGGCTGGAGTTCTAGCAGAGACAAGGATGCATACAGCAGCTTTGGTGCACGGTCTGACCGTGGAGCAAAATCAAGCTTCTTTGACCGTGGAAATGGATCCAGAGGAGGAAGGCAAGTACTTATTTCTCTGGGTGGTGCGTACAAAGTCTGTCATGGTTTTAGTAGTGCCTCTATAATCTTGATGATAAAGTTAGAGTTCTAGGTGTGAATGACAGGATAAAGTAGCAGGAACCTGGGAGGGGAGCAGAAAGAGAACCTTGCTTTTAAAGGTACATGAGTTCCAGGATGGGAAGATCACATATGTTGCAAAGTGTGTCCTGTAGTCTACCACCAGCCACTCACTGGCAGCTGTAGTGACTTGCTGACCTTAACATTCCACCAAAAGACTGCTAGATGGATTTCTGTTTGGAACAGTTGGAACTGTTTGGAACATAGAAAATATATGAAAATAGTTTTTTTTTTTTCCTAATTTCAGCATTTTTTCCTTGTTTAAAAAGTGTAGTTAATAAAACTGGGTGAGACTCTTGCAGGTTCTCTACCTTACTTGATCAGTCTTACACACATCATGCGTTGTATGCACAAGTGTGGTGAGAGTGACCTTTATCGACTAGTAAAGGTGACGCTAGTCCTGTATCCAGAGTTTTCTCAAACATGACTTACCAGACCCAAAAACTTAACAGTTGAGGTAAGGACTTCTTCCACCTTCTTTTTCTGAGTCAGTGGTACAGGTAAGATCATTTATAAAATAATGTGACATGTAATTACTGTATTTGTTTTGGTCACATTCATGATGGGGGAATAAAGGAAAAAATTGCAGCACTCAAGGGTTTTGTCTGGATGTGTGGAGCCGAAGTAAAATGAGGGTTGGAGAAAGGGAGGGGGTACCAGATAAGTGTCTCCTAAGATGTTGTAAGTGGAGCTTCCTACAAAAAATAGTGAAGACAGGGCAACTTGAGCTGCAGCTCTGCTGGCAGATAACTGATCCTTTACATTTGTTAGACTTGACTAAATCAAAATGGTGATAGAAGACACATTCAGTGTGTTAAGATAACCTAAGCTGTGAAATCATGACAGTCTGAGACAGAATGCATGACCTAGTCTGATGGCTGGGACTACACTCCTTTCAGTTCATGGGTGGGAAAACAAGTACAGATAATCAGATGGCTTTAAGTTGTTCTACAGTTGTATATGTGATACACAGAGCATACACTACTAGGTTATTATAACTTTAATTTTGTATGTCAGAAAACCCTGTTGCTCAGGATTGGTGGCCTGACATTCTTGCTGTGTTTAGATATGAAGAGCGTGGAAGAGGTGGTGACTATGACAGGAGCGGCTTTGGCAGATTTGACCGTGGTGGGAATAGCCGCTGGTCTGACAAATCAGATGAAGATGACTGGTCAAAGCCTCTTCCCCCAAGTGAGCGCCTGGAACAGTAAGTAATGTATATACTGTAAATTCACATGACAGAGTCAGTTGATGTGTCTAGCAAGTAAAATACTTCTCTTCTGTTTGCAGGGAGCTATTTTCAGGAAGCAATACTGGCATTAACTTTGAAAAATATGATGATATTCCTGTTGAAGCAACAGGCAGCAACTGTCCTCCACATATTGAAAGTGTAAGTTAGTTGGTTGTTTTTTTTTGTTTGGTTTTTTTTTTGGTGTTTTTTATAAATCTGGTTTGCTAATATATTTAATAGTGACTGTTATTTGATGTCATGCTGTCTTAAATTGAGGGAGGAAGGGGAGATGTTGTCTTGCCTTCCTACAGCTAAGCTGTTTTTCAGAGGAGGGTTGTATGTAATGAACCAAGACATAAGAGCAGTTATGTAAGCATGTTAACACACACAGGTCGCTTGTAGTTGACTTGTCTTTAAACAGTAAACATGTAAAGAAGTAAAAGTGCTTGGAGGAGGTGGTGTAGTTTATACTTTCAGGCTTTTCAAGGATCACTTGTGATTGGACTAAGTAACTACCAGACTCTTGGTAACTTGTTCTTGAGTATCCGTAAACTTAATAGGCAAGCTCTATAGTAAGAGATGAATCAAAAGCTACTTTACAGATGACTTCTTAGACTGAATGTTGTACTACGGTGGCTGAAGGGAAGCATCCTCATGCTACTCATTTTAAATATCTTTCAGTTCAGTGATGTTGACATGGGAGAAATTATTATGGGAAACATTGAGCTCACACGCTACACCCGTCCTACTCCAGTCCAGAAACATGCAATACCTATTATTAAAGAAAAGAGAGACTTGATGGCCTGTGCTCAGACAGGTAAGTTAGTAACTCTACTGTTCAGTTCTTAGTAGGAATAGGGTCTTGTATTTCTCAAGCTGCAGGTAAGAGGCCTGTAAGTAGTAGTGTTCTCTTAGGAGTATACTGAAATACCTGCAGTGATGGAAACTAGCTAGCTTTATTCTTGGAACTGCTTCAGATGTGGCTTGACTGCGTTTACTGTGTTTGTCCTCAGAGAAATGTTCATGGCTTAAATCACATTCACCTTGCAGTTTTGTGGTGCAAAGTGACAAGTCTTTCGTAGAGAAACTCTGCTGTCAGAGGAGTGCATTCCATTGGCATAGGCAGTATCCATATACTAGTGCAGATGTTACTGGGTATATGCTGGTGGTACAAAATTAGTGCTGTAGTTGATAATATAGTAGCTTTGAAAATGACTGTTAATACTGAATTGTATCCTAATAGGGTCTGGGAAAACAGCTGCATTTCTTCTGCCAATACTGAGCCAGATCTATGCAGATGGCCCTGGTGATGCCTTGAGAGCTATGAAGGCAAGTACCTAAACCTCAGTCTTGGAAAAGCTATGACTAATGTGTATTTTTACGCTGTATGTTGTTGGTATCTGCTACTGAACGCAATAGGTGGTCTTAAATGTCATCATTACTTTGGGTAGGATAGGTAAGCTTCTTGCCTTCTAAAAGACAAGCTATTCCCCTTGAAAAAATACAGGCTGTGAAACCTTTTTCCTTTCTAAAGAGTTGATATCTGTAACTAATTGTTTGAGTATTTTTTGTTGTTGCCTGGGCTTTAAAGATGCTTCCCTTTCTACAGAAAACCTATGAGGTCACACATGTCTTATGTTGTAGCGACTTTGGGATAGGAAGTAACAGGTTTTATACAGCTATTTCTCAGCTGCTTAAGTAACAGTGCAGGTTGTAGACCTGAGAGTTACCAGCAGCTGAATCTTGGGTACTGGAGTTACGGCAGTCTTGAGATGCAGTGCTTAAAACAAGTTTGCTCTCAGTCATGCTTTTTCTTGTTAAGACAAACTTGGTGACCCATCTTCAGTATTGCCTGTAACAGCTGTTCTAATTTCCTCTTGCATTTGAGGAATTCAGAGTATTTCTTCTTACTCTTCAGGAGAATGGGAGGTATGGGCGCCGCAAGCAATATCCAATCTCGCTGGTCTTGGCTCCCACTAGAGAACTGGCTGTGCAGATCTACGAGGAAGCCAGAAAGGTATATCTAGGAGTTCATCCTTCTAAAAATGCTTAAGTGCAGTTTTCCTTTGAGCTAATTTACTTTGCTTTGTAGTTTGCATACCGTTCCAGAGTTCGTCCCTGCGTTGTATATGGTGGTGCAGACATTGGTCAGCAGATACGCGACTTAGAACGTGGATGTCACTTGCTTGTAGCAACTCCAGGACGACTGGTTGATATGATGGAGAGGGGAAAGATTGGACTGGATTTCTGCAAGTAAGTGAAGTGTTCTTGGCCACATACAAGTGTCTTGGCAGCTGGAAGCTACCTTCTAAAGTGAGATCTGGGCTTAATGACCCAAGTTCTGCCTTTTGGACTGTGTGAACACCTAGTTGAGAACTTCGGTGCTGTGTTACAGATTAAAGAAAAAGCTCTGAAGAATAACTTTTTTTATTATTATTTAGGTACCTAGTGCTTGATGAGGCTGACAGAATGCTTGATATGGGGTTTGAACCTCAAATTCGTCGAATTGTTGAACAAGATACTATGCCACCAAAGGGGGTTCGTCATACCATGATGTTCAGTGCTACTTTCCCCAAGGAAATCCAGGTACTTGACGGAGCTCTAAAATTTTAAGAGCTCACAGGCCAGATTTCAGCCCTGGAAGGCATAAAAACTGATTGGATTTTTTTTTTTTTTTTGTCCATCTTCTCTATTTCAGATGCTTGCTCGTGACTTCCTTGATGAATATATCTTTCTGGCTGTAGGCAGAGTAGGTTCTACATCTGAGAATATCACACAGAAAGTAGTATGGGTGGAAGAGTCAGACAAACGATCGTTTCTGCTTGACCTGCTGAATGCCACAGGTAAAGACCACTCTCAGATAAGCAAATAAGGCAAAGCTCTGATGAGGCAAATATAATGACTCAAGTAATAAGAACTTCTGTTGAGTAGGTAAATAAAAGGATATTTCCTTCAAATGCCGTGAATATAGTGCACTGGCTAGATGACAGTTTTAAGTGGATATAAGCTCTTCTCGTAATATGGAATGGGGATAGGGAGCTCTAGGATCTTCAGTTTAGAATAAACAAGAGTGAAGAACTGAAACTGCCTTTTACCCACATGGTGGAGTCAATGCTACTTGCACAGCTCTTCTGCTAACCCATGCTTCAATTATTGTTAGGCAAGGATTCCTTGACTCTGGTGTTTGTGGAAACTAAAAAGGGTGCAGATGCTCTTGAGGACTTCTTGTACCATGAAGGATATGCCTGTACAAGCATACATGGAGATCGTTCTCAGAGAGACAGAGAGGAAGCACTGCATCAGTTCCGTTCGGGCAAGAGCCCAATTCTTGTTGCCACAGCAGTAAGTAAAATCAATGACACTTGAGCCAGTAAGCGTATTTACTCGGCTTGTGGAATTTTACTAAGATCTGATTTAATCCTTTGACCACTAGGTAGCAGCAAGAGGACTGGATATCTCAAATGTAAAGCATGTCATAAACTTTGACTTGCCAAGCGACATTGAAGAGTATGTACATCGTATTGGACGTACAGGCCGTGTAGGAAACCTTGGTAAGTAAGTTAAAGAATTTTCATAGGCAGTACATCATACCAAAGTTGGTAGTTGTACTGCATTGGCTAAGCAGCAAATTCCAAGTAAGCATTTGAGAGAAGCCCATGTGCTGCCTTCTGTGACCCGGAACTGGTTCATGCTATCTAGCCAGTGTGGAAAGTAACCTGTTCCTTTAGGTAGTGTTTTTGTTGCTGTTAATAAGCTCTGATACAGCTAAGCTTGGTATCTTGTGTTTTTAAGACTCCTGTGCTTAGCCAAGGGTTTTTTGACTAGCTGTGGTGGAATAATGGTCTTAAATGGCTTTCTCTTCAGGTAATTCTAGTGTTCTCAAGTTTGGCAGTAAGGAATCTGATTCTAGTCACAGCTGCAGGTGGAGTGTGAA